CATTGCCATACTGAAGCCTCTACTCTTCTCCAGCAACACAACTCCATCCCGCCTCCCCTCGCAAAGAAGTTATATCGAAATGTTTCTCAACTCGGGCTACAATTGCCTGTGGCCAGCATTGTTGTGTTAGCAGGCTAAATGTTAGCACACTTTAGTTAGCTTGTAGCTCCACATTGCATTTAAAGTGATGCAGAATGGCCGTGATGTAAAAACACTTCTGTGACATTTGAATAAGCAGTGAGCATGTTATTCTTCTTTTCTCAAGTCCTCGACTTAAATCGCTTTTGCACACAAGGGGAGGAGCCGACCGTCCCATCCCTGTAAATATGATGTAAACAAGGCTCCGACAACAACACAGCCGGCGGGACTCATGCTTCTCACTCATTGTAGACAGTCATGACTCAGAGAGACATTTACAGATAATATGTTTGATTTCTGCTGTGTTTATGTGTAAAATGTTACACATTCTTCCTTTAACTTCAAGGCAAAGGCCATTTTTTGCCCCACCATTTTTTTCCTGAATTCTATCATATTTGTCTGTCTGGTTTTGACCTATTTGTCCTGTGTGGTTGGTTCTGTCCTGCACGTCTTGTCCCGTCTCTTGGATCACACCTTTTCCTTTTTGGCTTGTCTGCCAAACGTCATTATTTCTTTTTTACAAATAGGCATGTATTATGTATTCACACTATGTAAAACTGCAAAAGCAAAAAAAAAAAAAAAACCTTCAAGTCAATGAAAATATTGTTTGTGCAATCTAACTAATCTCGCCATCCCTACCTGCTCTCTATATGCTTTTTGTTGCTCTTCATTCTGAGGTGCACAATAACCAACAACATGCAAAATTTGAAAGCAATACATTCAAAGCATGTCTGAGTTTTTACAGATCAAGGTTTACAACCTAGACATGACCCCATCCTATCTCTGGAGACTGGCTCTTTCTCACATTCAGAAATAAACCAAGCACCGACTTGAAATCATCCTTTTTCCAAACCTATGGGGTGATTTGACAGTCTCTAAGCTACATCTGTTGTTTAGAAGAATTCTTACAAAGAAGAGTAGGCTCTGTGTCCCTCTATCGTATGTACATAAAATATGACATGCAACAAGACAGCAAGTCTCTCAGTACAAATAGGACCCTATACACGTCTGAGGAAAAAATCCTAACATATTCTAGACTGATGCATCTCTCTCCACCAACAGATTCTTCCCCCCCCCCCCTCCTCTTTTAACCCAGAAAAGAAAATCTGAAAACAAAACAAAATCTGAGGCCACTGAAAAAAACAAATAAATGTCTTCAAATAAATAAATAATCTGCGCTGAGACCTCCTTTAATGCACGGGGTTTTAGTTTATTCAGGAGGCGAACAATAGATGTAACATTGTCAGACGGAGTCAAGACTGGAGCGAGCAGAGTGTGTGGGCGTGTGTGAACGACAAACCAGAAAGTGCTTGTTTTTAAAATGTCCTCTCCATCGCACAAACTGAGTAAAATATAGTGCAATGCCAGTTCTGCTGAAAAAGAATGGACATCACATTTCGAGCAGCATAGAGGCAGTGCATGAGAGAAATGTCATGCACATAGCTCACCCTGAAAAGGCCAATGCAGTTTCATTGCACTTTCTTCATAAGGGCGCCATTGTTTTGATAAAAAGCCTGTTTTACTGTATGATACAACGCTGTGTTCCTCTTTAACCTTGCATTCACTGACATATTACTTCTCATGGGAATTTGCTCTTTGCACCTTCCAGACCTGCCTTTGAAATATCAATCTGAGGTCGTTTGTCTTTTAATTTAAAAGAATTCTGTTATTATAGTTCTAATTATAACAAAGTTTGTATTAATAAAAAGCAAAATGAGAACAAATTTGAATCTCTCCATTAAATCTGCAGGCTCACGGTGAGGACCTCTCAATCGATATTTTTCTTCTCCCTATCAGTTCCAAGCGAGTGAGCATGGCAGTGGCATACTATTAGGTTATTACAAAAGCAAATCAGTCAGCAGAATTAATTTTCATGAAAAATATGAGTCTGGCTAAAGGGAATTAATAACCATTGCAGGGTATGTAGACACTGAATTTTTATCCCTTCTCCCCAGCCGTTCCTTCATGTGAGCAGCAATCTGTCTGCTTTGATCATGGCAGGCTGTTGTTTATCATGAGAAATGTTTGGTTCACTGGGCATTACAATGAGGGTGAATTTTCTAACATAACACCTCTTGTAAGGCTGATAAGCATGTATTCTAACAGAATAAAAAACAAACTTAAATATTGAAGAGGAAACTTCAGAAGTCAGAAGAGACAATTCCCTCATACAGAAGACTTCATTTAGCTTCAGACATCTGCTTTTGTTCCAGTGGTGTGAGAAATGTTTGTATTGTGTTTAGATGCACACTGCAAACCATTTATGCGCTTGATCAAGATTAATGTATTTATCTATTGTTGATCTACAAAGGCTGGGGGTTGATCAAGCATGGACTTTGATGTGTGGAGATGAAAATTGTATGTGCTCTTCAGGGTGCAGCAGTGCAGTTAGAGATGGGAGAGCTGTGGGTTTTAAGAAGCACAAAGTGTCTGCTTAGGAAAGCATCTAAACATCACCAGAAAACGTACCTCTCTATTTTCACAATTGGATGTTGGCAGCTTTGCTGGAGTCTAATTCTGAATCTTTGTTACCTAATCTCAGATTTCGAATTTAAAAAGGAGGACTACAAGAATGTTTTTGACCTAGACACCAGTGGTTGGATCCAGATACTCCTGAAAGGGCTGGTCATAAACATGTCGCTAAATTCATGAAGAAAAAAATAGTTATATCCCAAAGCTGCTGGGTATTGTAGTTGTAAGAAAAAATTACGTCAAAAAATCTGATCTAACTGTTTGGATTATTTATGTTTACTTCATAGTTTCTCAGCATCAGTTGAGGTTTATGGCAGAGACCAGTAACATCTATCACACTCTCGCTACACTCGATATTGATATTACCCCAAGTACAACAACAGAACATCACAAGCTTTGTTTACCCAAGCCCAATCTAGACTGTTTCACAGTCATATAAAGATCTGTATTGAACAAAGTCTGTATATAAAAAGTGACTTTGACATCCTTCCCTCATCCATTGTGTTGCTTTTTAGCCAACTTTTTTTCTATGGAGCGAGATGTTACCATGAATGGACAATTTGGTAAAGATTCATTGCAAAGTTTCAATCCTCGTTGAAAGGCCCCCTAGAGACTTGTCAAGCTGATATTCTCCAGCTTCAATGCCAAAGTAAAGGTATAATATGCTACATTCTGAATATTGATACAGCATAAAATCAGATACACCCTATGTATATATTGTGGAGTAATGCCTTCTTAAAAGGGAGTGAAGTCAAACTCCCTCCGGATTGTTGTTCTCAGCTCTGTGTTCACATGGACAGGATTTTGCTTCCTTCAGCTTGTTTATCTTTAGCTCAGGGGCTTGAACATGTTTCATCCGTTAGCCCTGCCACCAAGTAGGGGAAGAGAGCTGGCCACACGCACTTTTGTTGACTTTCATTTACAATCTTTGGTTTTCACAGCAATAATGCATGCAACGTTCGGCAGGGAAAGAGAGTGAGTGCCGTCAGAAGGTGCCCCATTAGGGAGGTTTCCTACTGTTGTTGCAAAAAATGCACATTTTGCACTGCTTTGGTTTAAGTTTGTGGGCCCTCAGAGCCCCCTACTGGTCTGGGGCCCCAAGTAGTTACCTGCTTTGCCTGTTGACAAGCAGTGCCTATATGTTTTCGGACTATATTAAATAAAGAATATTTTAACCACGTGAAGCGGCACCCTACCGGCCAGTTACCATAAATCATGAATTTAGTTTAAGGCACTTCCACATTAGCCTCCCTTTTTAAACCAAAAGGTGAGTTTACTTTTTATGCAATCTATTGTATAACATATACGCTGCAGGTATATGAAAATGAGTGACATGCTTGTTCCAGAACCATGTACAAAAATGATAAAACATGCAGTGAAATACAAACTGAGAGCAAAAGAGGACAGCTTGTAATTTCTGACACTGTGTTCAATGCAAGTAAAATAATCTAATGCGTATTATCTTATCTATGGGGAAAGTAATTGAGGTCACAAACTCTGGTGCAGTCAACATTTCCACTTCTGCGAGGGTCCTTCCTTTATCTGACTTCAAACAGCGACTATCAGACAACGAAACACTGAGTTGAAAGTACTGTACCTGAGGTCAAAAACATTCACAGAGTGGGATTATTACTATGCAGGCTGCATAGGTAACTAATGTTTAGGCTTGGGGGATCCTACAGGGCTTTCTGATTAAATGTGCTCATACGTTCTGTCGCTATTTCCATCATACAGACAAGGGTATGTTAATAAGAATGCAATGCAGCTTGCTCTTGCCTGCTGTTGGTGGGACAACAGCAGATCTGCATTATCTGGGAACATGTTGTCTTAAGCTTAACTTCACATAATGACCTCTACACAGTCATTCAAAAATGATTCCTTATATGTCCAGATCAAAAACAGGCACCTACTGTCCCCTAAAACCAAAGAGGACTCTCTACTGCCTGCTTAATGAGATTTTTTTGTCTCTGGTGTATTTCACTATACCCCTCTTGCATATTTGCTGAAGCTAGACACTTAACTGGAGAAAGATTTAATGACTGCATTTACATACATGCAGTCTGTATCGATCCGCCTCAGATCCTATGCACTCAGCAGATTCTGAATCACCACCATCAACATTAATGTCATAACATGCCAGTTTTAGAGACAGGCCTGTAATGGCTCTACAAACAACTTTAATAGCACACTTAGCTTATAGCTACTGTGCATACAAAACAACAACCCGCAGTGTTCTCAGGCGTTACTATGTGAATCTCATGCAGTTGTGTAAATATTTAAAATTTGTCACTTTAGGTTGGTTTGGTGGGCACACACAGAAATGACATACTTATACTGAAAAATAAAATATCCTCTGATATCAATCAGTATAAAGCAATCAGTTTCTTTGCGAGCCTGAAACTGCTCCGTTTTGCTTTTAATCGACTTGACGAGCATAGACAGACTCGGGTCCATCGCTTTCTTCGAGGTGAGGTCGACCGCCGCCGCGGCGTCACGGTCCTTTTCCCGTTTCTTCCCCGCCACCTGCTTCCTGTCGGCTCCCTCCCCCTGATCTCTGAGCCCGTCCTCCAGGCGCCGCTGCTCCTCGTCTCTGCGGCGCTGCTTCTCCGTCAGGATGCTCTGCGTGGCGTTGGTCTTCTTGTAGCTGGGGTGGGAGGGGTCCAGGTTGAAGAGGTGGGAGGTGAACATGGCCTGGAAACGAGGGTCCTTCACATCCACCTGGACGCACAAACAGAGAGAGAGGGAGAATGTTACAACATCGTCATGACCACGATTTAGTCAACACAGAGCTAACAGCCTTCCTTTGACTCCATCACACCACGAGAGAGGGAAATGAACGTCTATATATTTATTTCTTCTTCAGGTCGACTGTTCATCTTTGAAATCAGATCAAAACACGTTAAACGGGACGATTGTGGTCAAAACAAAAGTTTGAACATTTAGCGGCCGAATGCTAAAGTCAAGTCCTGGAAACCGGAGGACATTCAGCTGGAGCAGCACGACCTGTGACATCATCACACCCACCTGGAATTGGTCTTCCTGCTGAAGCTCCTCCCCCTTCTTCTTCAGCAGCTTCTTCTTCTTCTGGCTCAGATTCTGCTGCTCCACGATCTTATCGTAATTAAGTGTTTGTGTTTGGCTTCGTCGCCCTCGTCTCCATCAGCAGGGCCATCTCCGCCTGCACACACACACACACACACACACACACACACAGAAAACAAACACACACACACACACACACACACACAGAAAACACACACACACACACACACACACAGAAAACACACACACACACAGAAAACACAATCACACACACACACACACACACACACAGAAAACACACACACACACAGAAAACACAATCACACACACACACAGAAACACACACACACACACAGAAAACACAATCACACACACACACACACACACACACACACACACACACACACACACACACACACACACACACACACACACACACACACACACACACACACACACACGTTGAGATGCTGTCTTCAGGTGATATTTACAGATGTGATAAACTCACGTGAGCTGCAGCCATTGACCTCTGACCTTTTTTTTCTCCAGCTCTTCTTCCTCCTCAGCGGTGCGCTCCTCCTCCTCCCCTTTCTTCTTCTTCTTCTTCTTCTTTCTGTTGCTTCTTCACGTCTGCACACACACAAAACAAATCATGACCTGACACGCTGCAGAGCTCTGAAGATCAAACAATTCAATTCAGACACGTTAGAGACACGTGAGAGCATGAATAAAAACCAGGAAGAACACTTCAGGTTTACATCCCGAGACATCTGAGCTGTTTGTTCTTCTCACAGGTAACAAGACGAGGAAGAAGAATGAAGCTTTACTCTTCTATGTTGACCTTATTGTTTCAAACTAAACTCCATCACTGACAGTCTGTCAGCTGAGTTTATAAATACAGAAAATAATTAAATTCTGAACAATTCCAGAAACCACACAGGCCTGGTGGTGTCAGACCACTCCTACAGGACTCTCCTGCTACACTGCTGCAGAAACAACAGGTTTCCATGTAGACCTCTGACTGCTGCTATGACACACAACGACCACTAGATGGAGCCCAACATGAAGAAACAAGAAGTGATCAGTTCTGTTCTGCTGCCACAACAAGCACCAAACTCTCCTGATACATGAGAGTGACTGTAATAAATGAACTCGAGTATCTTATTCACAAAGAAGATACGACGACTTTAATGAGACTCTTCCTCTTCTCAGATCAGATCAGATCAGTCTATTGAAGCTGGTATTTCACAACAGCCCTGTGACTCAGAGGGAAGAAACAAGCTGCAGTTAGAGGCCGAGCCACAGGTGAGGGAGGAGAGCTTCAGCGTCACTCTGAAGAAATGAAACTTAAAGTTTGTCAGGGTGTCGACCACGCAGCCGTCCAGAAAGGTCTCCGTTTCTCTTCAAAGAAATTAAACTAACTTCATCCAATCTTTGTCAACGATCTGTGAAAGGGTGTCACAGTTGTCAGAGAACTGGGGCGTTTCCCCAAGGAGCGGGGCTCCACAGTCAAAATCAGGGAAAACTAGACTTATTTCCTCAGTCCTTGGGTTATCCTGGCTGCTCGGTTCTTTACTGAGCTTTTTCAGCAGGGTTGTTTGATCTCTTAAGGGGCTTGGTCCAGGATCAGAGTCATATCCTGACGATATGTCTTGCTCCATGCTTACCTGTGCTCCCTGAATTAATTCAAACATGTCCAACACTTTCTGCTTGGCAGTTTGTAAGTGCTGACTAACAGATTTGTTTCCTTTCTGCAAGGATTGGACCTTTGGTGGGAGTGTCCCCATGAAATCACGGACACTCCTAGCCGTAGTCTTCCAGATCCGTTTCAGTTTTTCATGTGAGGACGCATGAGGCAGGTCAAGGAGACAATGGTCAACTTCTCTAAGGTAGGTCGTTAATACTTGAATCTGGGCTATCTGAGTCAAAACGCTTCAGATCTTTGGCCTGAGGTTCTATCTGCCTGGTTCGCAGGCCCTGACCCGAAGGCTGGCAAGGGTCGTCCGATTCGTCTGACGAATCGTAAGCCCTGTGGTTGTCACGGTAGTAGGGTTGTAACCGTGGCGGGGTTTGTGTTCGGCTCAGACGTGGCCGTCTATCGTGGGACAGGTAGCGTTCGGTGCCCAATTGGGCCTGTGTCTCCCCCCTGTCTCTAGGGGGAGTAAAGCCTCTCCTCCTGCGGGGTGAGGGTTCTCTTCGCTCAAAGCGTATTGCGGAACGCGGGGGCCCTTCATCTTTAATCATCCAGCTCTTTACCGGGTGGTCTGAGGACGTGGGCGCTTTTGTGCCTGGGTCGACCCGGCGGTGCCTTCCCCTCTTCTCCAGATCCTGCAACATGTCTGTCTCCCTCCTCCAGGGGCTTGTTTCAGTCTCCCATCCTTCGTCTGAGGTTTCCTCAGCTGATCTGGGGGCTGCAGTACTTATCTGCCTATCCTGAAATCTGGGTACCGTGTCACTTCGTTTCTTCTGTTCGGCCAGTTTGCTGCTTTCATGCAGTGTTTTATTCTCCTCCTGCAGGGCCTTGCAATTTTCCTGCAAGGTCTTTAGTTTATCCTGCATTCTTTCGAAGTCGTCCCGCAGGATCTGTCCTTCTTCTAGTACCCGGGCTAGCTGTTCCCGGTGTATCTCATTCTGCACATTTGATTTGCGCTGATAAAGGAGGAGAATTTCGCCTAGAACATCTGAAACTGTACGTGTTGGCTTCCCAGTTGGTTGATTTGCATATTCAACCAAGCCCTTTAGTTTCTTTTCACATGTGCTGAGGGTGTAGGAGTTCAGGCTGTCGAGCTGCTCTATAGGGAGGTGGATAAGATTAGCAACTATGTCTTGAAGGGGTGGATCGTCTGATCCATAGTGAGCTTTGGCCCATAGTTGATGTATGTCTTCTGCATACATTCTGTCTTTATTAGGGGTGAGCCTGGCTCTGTGGTTGACAAGATCAACTAGCTCTTCTTACTTCTTATCACTAATGCTAATTGACTAGCTATATAGGTTGACACTCTCTTCTAAGGAGAGGTTGTCAGACCGGCAGCAGTTTCTTGCAGTGCTGCGTCGTCTGATCCAAAAGGAGTCTCAGCCCCCGACTCACCTAGGGTCTTGGTACACAAGAGCAAATCTTATCTAAGTTTCCCAACTGATCACTGCAGTCTATCCTGGAAGATAGGAGAGGGGATTCACACCTCAAGTCCTCAAAGGAAGGGAGGAACTCACACCTCTCAGACAGCTGGCTATGCAACAATGATGAGGTTACACTCTCATCTGGCCAAATGGCTCTCAAACAACAAGGAGCACCACAATCCTTTAGTAGAATACTTCAGGATCAAAATCTAGATTAATGCAACAAATCAAGTTCCTTGATAAAGTCACACTAGCTGCATCATTATGTCCATTGTTGTATGGACCCAAAGGGGACAACAGTTATGGCTTTAACCATTAACTAACAACATACAACACAACTAAGCCACAGCTTGATGTCTGCTTTGCTTAAACCACAAAAATTTAAAGAAAATATAATTTTCTTCCGAAGGATCCTTTTTAGGATTTTAAGTTTGGATTACTGTGCATTTACAGTGCAATAAAGCTGGTTTATTGAAGGCCTCACACGGGCACCATTTGTTGGGGTTGTATCAAGTCAACTTTGGTTATATTCTTTAATAATTATACTTAATTATTAATAATATAAATAAAATATCATTAAACTATGTTTAATCTCGTTTTGGGGCACCAACCTGTAATCAGGTAAATATAACCAAAATATCACTCAAATCAGTCTCAAATTAGTTATTTAATTACTAATATTATTAATAATGAATAACTATATTTAATAAATTGAAGGCGTGAAATCCGTACACAAAGCCTTCGCACCCAGCTTATATCACAATGTAAATACACCAGTAATCACAAACAACTGCTCTCTTAAATTATAACAGAATTTATTTAAACAAAGCAACATCAATCCAAAATCAATGAACTTAATTAAACAAATAACTATTATAAACTAATCTAAGCAACAAACATTATCAAGCAAAGGCTTGTAGATGAGGTGTGAATGTGTGTGTGTTGTGTGTGTGTGGTGTGTGAGAGAGAGAGAGAGAGAGAGAGAAAGAGGGAAGAAGAAAGGGGGGAGATGGCTTCGTACCCTCGTGGTCGTTCACGATGGCGCAAACCTAACAGACCTGGGTGCGTGCACGTGTGGATGAAAGGGAGAGAGAAGGGGGGAAGATTACTTCGTCCCACGTGGTCGCCCTTCCGATGGCACACACCTAACAAAGGCCTAAATGTGGCCTTAAGGTCTAAAAGAGACTGAGTTCGGCCCTACACAATCTGTGTCTCTGAGGCGTCTGGATAGCCGCGAGTGTATAGATCTCTGTGCGTAATGGCGCGGTGATGGAGTTGGTCTCCAGATGTACGTTTACACAGGAATATGTGTGTATGTGTGTTCGTAGAGGGGAAATAAAAGAGAATAAAAGAGAAATGCGTGCCTGAAGAGGCCGGATCACAGTCCGACTCCAGCGCCACAACTCGGAGTAATTCCCTTCATTCACAGAAACAAACCAATAGCCGAATTCAGGTTAATACAGTTTACACTGGCCTTTCTGATCAGAAGAGTAGTACCCGGTTATAACGCTGTTACGCTAAACACATATAGGACGCAGCGGTCCGAAACAACAAGAGTTTTAAACAGTTAAAACTCAGGACGCAGGTCCAACAAAGATAAAAATTACAGTTTCTGCTTTGATCAACAATTGTTAAAAACACTCTCTAAAGCTAATTCTGCCCAGACCTAATTAAGCCTCACTTGTGAATCGCTTTGTCTGCGATTGGTGAAAGGAAAAGAGTCCGGCGATGGAGCAGATCTTCTGTCCGTCCTGGTGCAGAGGCGTCTGATGGCGGCGAGGGTCCCTTACGGCGAGAGCGGCTTCGTTGGTTCTCCGTCGAGTGGAAAGATGTCCTTTGATGTCCTTTCGTTGCAGGACGGAATAAGACCGTTATCTTTCTGATAATCTGTTATAGTCTGACGCTCTCCGAGAAACTGAGATGCGTTCACTGGACAATCCGAGCTCGGAATTTAGAACACTGCCGGCCGCGGATTACCTGCGCGCCAAAACTTAA